CGTTTGCAGCTCCCGTCCGGCTTATATGTTACAAAATAGTGCATATTCATAAAACGCCTATACATATACATAGTCTACCCCCACCTCCCCTCGCTTCTCATGGTAATCAGGTCTCCTCCTCTTGCGCCTGCGTGATGAGCTCTCCAAGCTCTGGGCTGGGGTCGCAATCTCCTGGGGAGGGGTCGTAAAGAGGAAGTACCTCTTCTTCCTCGCTGATGAACTTTTCACCCTGTCGCTCTGCGCAGCCTCAGTTGTTCTCTGGCTTTCTTCCAGGCCAGTTTATACTGGTGGTTTGGGTAGTCTGTTCTTCAAGGACTAGGGGGGACTTCTCTTTGGGCTAGGAGATAATCGCCTAGCAACGTTATCAGTATTTGGTATGTCTTTTTCGAACAGTCCCATACGCCTCCCCTTGTTTTTCGCAGGCCTTGCACCATCAATCTAAGATTGTTTAGACTCCCCGTCTCATTTGTATTATAATTGCATTTAGTTAGATTTTTGCTTTCTCTAATGTAAAAGGAATGGGAACTAAGTTATTCACAGTGTTTAAAAGCTATCCACAGGAAACTGTTCTGGAAATCAAAGTCAGCAAGTTATTGGATGATGACAAGGTCAAGTAACAAAAAACTTGGCCAATCCTATATGACATCATTGAACCTGAACTGTTCATTCAATCTGGACTTCTGAAGCTTTACCACATACTCTATACAACTAAAATAATTAACCTACCTATACCAAAGTCTGTAGTTCTGCACAAAATATGGCTCTCCTGTTATCAAAGTCAATGGGATTTATCCAGTGCAGAACTCTAATTCATCACTGAAAGGCAATACTTAAATGAGAGCTTAGAGCTGATTAGTACAGTAAGCTATTCACCTGTTTAACCTTGCTACTGTAGATAGGTGGTAAGAGACTTTCAGTTTAAAGTTTTGCTTTGTATAGGAAAGTAAACACAAGGTTAACCAAGGGCAATATATCAGCTGATACTATATTGGGAGTGTCTATTTAGCAGAGAAACAAAATAAAATGACAAGCTATTATCATTCACTACAGCAGTAACTGCCTGTGTACCACAGGTATTTTTTATTTTTTAGCATAATCCAAGGCAGAATTCGATTTGCTGATAAATACTAGGATTGAAACTGATGTGTATTTTTACTGTCAGTTCTACAAATTTTTACAGATAGGGAGTTCTTTAAATCGTGACATGGCAAACACTGTACTTTCTATAAATACAAACATACATATAAACCAGCTTTAAATTCTGTGGTGGTTTAGGCCCTGCTGGGACCGGAGAGCATATTGCTGTTGCCCCTCCCCCACCCGCAGCCGGTGGGGCTGTCAGTGAGGCACAAACCTGGGTTAAAATAAGAAGAAATTTAATACAACAGTGTGATAAACAATCTGAACAACAACAGTGGCAATGATAGCAACAATAAACAGCAATAACAGTGAACTAGACAAATGATATACAGAGAAATACTGTAAAATGGTCACGGAGCAGTTACCCAACACCAAAAAGCCGAAGAGAAAGTAAAATCAAGGTTTCCCGCCCCTGGACCTGAAGTCAGCATGGTATGAATAACCGGGCTGGAGATCCCTTCCCCCTCTCTCTCTGCTCGGGAAACTTAACCCTATCCTAGTTGAACCAGGACAAATTCACATGCTAAAAATAGTCTGAATATATATATTTTATATAAACCTACAATCAACAATTATGTTTTGTGGTGGTTTTCTTTAAATAACAGTTACTTTCCCATACAATAAACATTAAAGACCTTATATTTTCTACTCATCAGCAGTTGTAATAAAGCCTTCCGAGAAAGAAACTTGAGTTTCTGCAAAGATCTCAAAGTTAATGGGAAATCTGGCAAAGCATTTGGGTATATTAATTTAAGCACTTGAATAAAATCTAGAATAAACAGATTCAAAGAAGCACAATTCCAAATGTAATTTAATTTTTTATGAGCTTAAAACACATGCTTAAGTGCTTTTATTAACTAATACTAATGTAACTGGTTTTACAGTAACCAAGCCGTCTTTTAAACATATAGAAAGAAATTTGATAGTTATTTTACACCTGAGCTCTCTGGAACATGCTAAAACTCTTTCTTACTAGGGACAAATCATGTAAAAAGCAAGCACACAACTACAACGTCATGTTGACATTTAATAGAGTAAATGTAAAACAAATGAGCAAAACTAACAGAATATTTTTTTTGGAAGTCTGAATTACAATTCCTCAAGTCACGAAAAATCACTGATCCCTGAAAATATTCAGATTATGAAATAAAGACACATCATTCTGGTAGGACAGGTGTAATGATCAAGAATAGATTTACAGGACACTACCTTCTGTAGCATTCCTTCCATCACACTTAAATGGCTTTTAAACTAATCATGAATATGATCATGATTATCAGCATAAGATCATGGGGACTTAAATTAGAGAGAAATATCTTTTTAACTCTACTGCAATGTAAAACTTGAAAGATAAGCCATCCTTTGGAATACAGACTTACTGAGAGAGAAAGAAGAAAAGCAGGACCGACCAACTGTGTTACTCTTTTTCATTAATCCCTTATTTCCTCTCCTGCTGTTCTCATTTCCCCCCCCATTTCCTTTCCTGCAGAACTCATTTCTTCCATTTGCTTCCTTGCAGAGTTCACTTTTTCTAACAACATGAATATGTGTTCTGCAAACTCCCGGACAGCTCCACAGCCACCACTGCTTTTACAAATATAACCAGCAGACTTCTGAGCAACTGTACAGGCATCAGCAGGTACACCACTCATGCCCGCTTTCCTCAGGCATTCCACATCCGACTCTTCATTTCCTATTGAGAAAGATGACAAACAAGGAAAAATATCACATAGGGAAAAAACTGAGCAAACTCAGTATTTTTCCATCTACATGTTAATCTACTTTTTAGAATTTGTATTCTTGCCCCAATTTTCATCTCAACAGCACTTTGCATGTGTGACACAGTTCTCAGAAAAATCTTAGTGATACATGTAAACACTGATCACACTTCACACAATCTTCAGGCAAGAGAGTAGTGAAGTAATTTGAGCAACTGAATAAGCATTTGCAGGACTATACACTTAAGCTGTCACCAAAATAAAGTTTTGTATAGAATCATATGGCTTTCAGTTTTGCTTCTGTCCATTTCTTGTTCCAGAGTACAATCTATACAATATCCACCTGAAATGAACTACAATCAGTTCAAATTTGTGAGCTGTACTGTATGCTTGTGTAGTATCAAAAGCTTTCCTAAATCTCCTTATAACAACCAGCTAAAACTTCCCTTACCAAATCTGACTCCCAATTCATCAATGTGTAATAAACTATGGTAACTAATTTGCTAAGTTAAGCAAGGCGGGTGCTGTAATAAAGTATAGTAACTGATCTGCTAGGCTGGGCAAGGTGGGTAGGTACACTTGAACGATCTGTAAAAGTTAAACAATTAAATGTAAAGTGTGCCATTCAGATTGGAAGAAAGTAACCATGTCTCAGAAACCCCACCTAGCATTCAGTTGGAACAATGTAACCTTGTCTCAGAAACCCCACCTAGAGCTGACATGTAACTGCTGTTTGAAGAAAAGCCAGCCAAAAGGATGAGATCATGAGACTTTTAAAAGATCCAATAGGAGAAAAGCGCGCCAAGAGACCAAGGCTTCGAGACTTTCAAAAGACCCAATAGGAGGAGGACATGCACCCAAGCAACTCAAATGACCCAATGGAAAAGAGCAGGACAACTCTCTGACAGGAGGAGATTGGTTAAAAACAATGGCACGAATATAAAAAACGCTGCTTTTTGGAACTCGGGGTGCGCGTGGTAGAGCTGCGGCTCTCCATGCACCCAGCGCTGCTTTGCCTATTGCTTCCCACCCTAAATTGATTGAACCCAAATAAAAATAT